CCCCAAAACCCCAAAACCCCAAAACCCCACTAGGCTAAGCTGCTATTGGAATTGCTGCCGAACAAAAATGGAGGCTTAAGACACCCTCCATGCACAGAAGTCAGTCAAAGGCAGCCAGCATGAAGAGTGGGAAGAGGCCACGGGTTGTGCGAAGGGGCAAGGGAGAGGGGCAAGACAGGATTTAAGGATTACTGGGAAATATTGGGGAGATATTATCCCTAATGTGATTTACAAGCAACTCAAATGAGCTTTAAACATATGAAATCAATGAGGGAATTCTTTCAGGTGTTTCCATGAGAGGCTCTCCTTAGCCTACCATTATAAATAGTATCCGATGTTGTCTCGGCGCCGAAAGAGAGCTTCCTAGTAACTATTACAAATAGAGTTTTAGGATCATATAAACTCAGTGGCAGTAAAGATGGCTGCGATTTGAGCATGAGTGTTTGCTTAGTATAATATCTAGGATTATATAACCTCAGTTATTATACAGATGTTGGTGAGGCTACAAAAGCATCTAGAGCATAAACTTCTTCAAATGGCTAGTCTGAATTCTCAAATTTCTAATATCAGCAAGAAGGGTGGTCTCAAGTATTTTTCCTTAGAGATTTCGGTGAGTATATGGCTGTCTTTCAACACATTGTCAATGAAAATATTTGTAAGAATCCTTGAAGGAAAATTCAAAATTTTAATAGTATTGAAATAAGATGTAATCAATTTATTTCGATAGTTTATTGAAGCTCGAATTCGGCTTATCGAAGTTCTTAGCCTCCTTTAAAGCATTTAGACCCTATTCAAATTTCTATTAAAGAGTTGACCATTTGTTTTTAATAATATTATGAATCGAGTCGTAAATGTCTAAACCTCTTTTTATGGTATATCATCCTGAGCAAATTTTTAACTATGATTAAATTTTTCATTCAGACTTAGCAACTGACATTGTAAAAGACAAAGAAATCCCTCACAAAAATAGTGAGATTAGTAATGTTCGACATGCTCAGTTTTAGACTCTTGGTTGCTGAAAGTTATCCTAGTTACAAATGTATGTGGAATGAATACTCTATAACTGCATTGCAGAGTGGTAAACTATCAACTTTGCATTTCAGGCTGAACTCTACAGCCTGAGTCTCTGTCTCAGACTGTCTTTTGAGGTTTTAAGAAATCACCATATTTTTAAACAGCCATGCTAGCCATCTTTAGAAAGCTAGATAATTCATGACTTTAACAGCTGTCCGGGAGCATGCTTCTATGGAAATTTAATATTATTTGAAGCATCTCTTTTGCACTAGAGAGAACTCTGAGCAAGCAAGCAATAGCTAAAAGTCTTTCTTAATCCACTAACAGAGGTTGAAATGCTCTTGGATGAGTTTGAAATTATGAGTTCATACATTACCACTGTCAAACAACCTTCTGCTAAATATTTAAGTTCAGAGATAAAAGATTTAATAAAAATTTTAAACATGGATTTATGCCATAATCAAATTTTGAAGCCTCTTGCTTTCAAACCAGTGTGGGGATATTCAGAAATTATCAGGGAACTTGCCACTCTCTATTGTTGCTGTCCATCTATGACAGAGATGTCTCCATACTTGCAAGCCTATTGTGCTTGCCAAAACCTGTGATCTTGCTCAGCTCAAGCTGTTGAGGATGCTAACGAGGCCAACACTGAAAACAAGTAAGTATTGTCATGAATGATTTCTCTCTTAAAATTAAAGCCTAACCTTGATATTTGTGTAGACCTCAAGCTGATGCTCCCAGTTGTGAACAGAAGCAAGCTGAAAAAGTGGTCACCGATATTCAGCAAGATAAGGAAAGCCTGAACTTAGTTGACAAGCCTGTCACTCAAAACAGCGACCACCCTCAAATGGACAAGGATGTAGATAAAGAAGAAAGCAAAATCCCTGTTGCCACAAGAGTCTTCAGCAACCGCAGAAGACGTTCTTCAAGACTCGACATCAGAGCCAGGCTCATAAGACTCAGGACAAGGATCCAGAATGGGCGGGTCACTGGATTTCAGAGCTCCAGAAAGAAGACCAGAGGAACTACTGACACAAGTCTAGGAAGGAGGTCTCAGTACATTGGAGTGTCCAAAAACAACGCCAACTGGCAAGCTCTTATCAACCATAGAAACACCAAGAAATATATCGGAACTTTTACCGATGAACTCGAAGCTGCCAGGACCTATGACCTGTATGCAATGACAATGCAGGGCCAGAAAGCATGCCTGAACTTCAGCTACTCTGCTCAAGAAGTGGAGGAGATGGTGGACTACTTTGTTGCTTACAAGGCTGTGAATATGGCAGCTTTCGAAACAGCATCTAACTAGATCGTTCACCTAATATAATGCTTTCGTAATTCTATGCTATTTTCAAGTTATGCAAAAGCCATATTGATTTATGAGCTTTAGTCCTAATTCTCAATCGCTACACCAAGTGGTGGGGTTTTGGGGTTTTGGGGTTTTGGGG